TTTGATTTTTCAAATAATGTACATTCTAATTAATTGTCTTTTATGAATTAAGGTTAAGTTTATGAACTATGGGTGTTTTATATTTCTTTATAGTTTTATGACTTTTTTCTGTTTTTAATTTAAAACTTGCACCTAAATTCAATTCAAAACTTGTACTTTGACTCAATTGTAGAAATCGCTGTGATTCTCGATATAGTTTTTTTATTAAACTTTGCAACAAACAACACTCTAGATCTCCCTATCTAAATCAAAATCCTTTAGTCAAACCAACATCCTTATCCTTTCAAGTTCCCTGCCTATAAAATCCATAGCTCCCTCCCTCTTTCCAACCCAACATCCTATTCATTCCAAGTGTCATCCTAAGACCCTCTAGGAAAGATTCCTCCATTCCCAACATCTATATCTACCTCCATCCTCACCCAACATCCACATCCTCCCTCCCACTATGTACCATCTCTCCCTCGCCAAAAGCCATACCACAATAGGCTTCAATCACGATGGCTTCAATATATATGCCTACATAGACCAAGGTTTAAAATTGGGTAAATAAGCCTCGAGGCATTTTTCGTCCGTGAGGCGAGGCGTAAGCCTCGAGGCGGTGTGAGGCGTAAGCCTCACAGACAAAGAATTGTGTAGATGAGAATTTAAGTATTCTAGCAGATAAATAACAGTAATAGTCTATAATACAATAAAAACATCTAAAAGAGAAGTGAACTTAGGGTGCGTTTGGGACGGCTTCAAGGCTGCTTTGCTTTATAAAAATTTATTAAGTGCTCGTTTGGGGCATTGCGGTAGAACAAAGTTAGAGAAATTTCTGCGGCCCGTGGCTGCTTCTCGCGACCTTTGATTGCGTCCCGCGGTCGGCTGCGAGTCGCTGCTTTCCGCCATTTCGAAGGGCATAAATGACGGAAAAGTCGGGTCGCTGCTTCTCCGATGCGCGCCGATTTGCCGAAGATCCCTCCACTCATCGCAGCTTCTCCCGCATGCCTTCCTCCGACTCTGCCATTTTCTCTCCATTTCTCCCGGTTAAGATTAGGATTCCTATTTGCAAGGCTCTTAGATGAGTTGTGCGCCCTCCTTCTCACCTTTCGTTGCAATCCCCATCGTCTGAAAGGACGGCGTTTGAGATGGAAACGAGGATCTCAAGGTGGGAGAAGCCGATGACGAGGGTCCAGGCTTTGAGATCGGTGGTACCTAAGTTGAGCAGGGTGACGTTGGCGCCGAAAGAATAGGGTTGCTTGGTAGGTTCGGAAACGAAAGGATGGATCTTTAGCCGATTCTAGAACTGGTAGTTGATGAAGATGCCGTTACAGGTGGTTAAGTTAGATGGTTGCGCCGTCGCCGGCAAACTCAGGGAGGTAGATGGTCGGAGGATGTTTGCTACGGAGAGCAGTAAGAGGAGCAAGAGCATTGGGTTGGCCATGAGAGAGAGAGAGAGAGAGAGAGAGAGTGAGAGAGAGAGCTAGGTATGAAGAAGTAAAGCGCGTTTGGGAAGAAGAACAGCTGAGAGGAAGCTGGCAGGTAGAATTTGGATCGTTAAAGAGTGTTTTTTCACTTTTTGATTTTTGCAGGCAGAGAGCAAGTCTTTTGTCTAAAGGTTTCCTCTTCTTTCTAAGATGTTTTTTTAAACTATATTTTTATCTTTGGCCAAAATGAGTCGGATAGGTAATGGCCGAGGCAAAATTTTTAATCTATGGGCACAAATTTTTATTTTTAAATACTTTCAAGCAAGTAGGTAGGGTAGCCAGAATTTTTTATTTATGGGCACAAATTTATTATTTTTAAATACCATCAAATTTTCATTCCAGCTTGAAATAGACATTTGGTTTAAATATGTATAAAGTAATAAAATAATTAGATTTTATATCAAAATTGTTAACATAAAGAGTTAAAAAAATTAAATTTGAACAAATTTTATTCATCTTCATATATGTAAGGGTAACAAGGTAATTTGTTGTAAAACAGCAGCAGCACAGCAGTTCGGCAGTAGTACTACCCAAACAACATCGACTGATTTCTATACAGCAACTTAAAAAAGCAGCTTTATGTACAACAATTTCACAACCTGGTTTACTGACAGCAGCAGCCGTCCCAAATGCACCCTTAGTGGAAAACAAAAAAATGGATACAATATATGCATCTCATAGCATAATTCAAAGTACAAAACTACAAATTAAAATCTATCAAAACTCCCAAAGTACAAATATCTCTTATCTTCAATGTTAAATCTTCGTGACAAATCTTCATTATCTTCAATGTTACCCACTTATCTCTTAGGGTCCGTTTGTGATGGTTTTTTCACTACTTCGTATTTCATATCCATGCCACTCACTGTTTCGCTATTGCTTATTTTGTTGTCTTTTTCAAAATATTGGTGGTGGGAAGTAATTTCTTATAGTTAAATATATTAGAGTACCGTAGTTATAAAAAAAACCTTACGTTTGATTTTTTTTCAAAAGAAAAAGTTATAATGCCCACATTAACTTGCAAAAGAAGTATTATCATCCTAATATATGTATTATGAAAAATTAATATACTCTATGAAGATTTGCTTGCAAATTTCATTCGAATTTTTTTGGGAAATTGCCGCCCCCCCCCCTCCTCAATGCAAGTCCAAAACAATGGTTAGATTGCTTGTATTGTAACTTTGATGTGAAATTGCATGCATCAATGTCTTCTTAAATATCATAATAACTGACGATTCATGCAATGAGCAGTCTTTTTGGAGCTTGCAACCTTCTTCTTCACCTTGGTCTAACCGTCAAATTATATTTTTCTTACGGTGATCTTATGGGCTTGGTTAGAAAATATTAGGAATGACCTTTCTTTATTAGATTTAAACGAGAATTTGACTTCTAATAGGACACAATGGAGAAAAAGGATTCATGTAGCCGACCCCACGTAGTGGGATAAAGGCTTGATGTTGTTGTTGTTGTTGTTAGTGATCTTATGGGCATGAGAATGAACATGTCATTACATGTCTCCCCCTGTTCAAGCCTTCGACACCAGCATATACAGTATGTTTCATGAGGCGTACGCCTCACTAAAAATTGAGCAATTGCGCCTCTGAGGCGCTCCTCAAGTTCCATGAGGCGTACGCCTCACCAAGTCCCAAAATTGCTTAAGCAATGAGGCTCTTGGGGGGCAAATTGCACAGAGGCGCGCCTCTTATTGCGCAATTTTAAACTATGACATAGACAATGAGGAATGTGTCTTGGGAGACCAAGGAGAGCAACAATTGCTTATATGGGCATGTCTCAAGTGGTAATTGACTTATTTAAGGTTAGTCATCTTAACTGATCTTAATAAAATCATTTATTTGACAATTTGTATAATTATAATTTGACTTTCTACATAGAATGAACTAGAATGCATCTCCTTAAGATTAATGAACATGACATTCTTTTGTTAAATAAAAGTTAAATTTTATGATTCATATTATAATTGCTTACTAATTCAGCATTCATCATTGATTTCATTATAGCCACCACCACCAAAAATATAACTCTTGCTATCATCTCCTCAATCTTTCTCAAGGAACCCATCTAATCTCTACCATACTACTCTATTTGGGCCATCATCATCATTGTGGTTATCTTCAAGCTTAGGGTTCGTAATTTCTTGCCTTTTTGAGGTTTTATTTTCATTCACGAAGAGAAGAGTATATAAATAATAATGAGCATTTCAGCTCAAAGAAGCAAGCTTAGAAACAAAAAATAGTGATAATAGATCCAACGAAAAAGAAAGAGCATTAAAGATCGTGAATGTTCAAGGGCATTAGAAACAGAAGAAAAGGTATATGCAAGTAGGTAAAATACTTCTCTTGATTAATAAAAGGAGTATTCATTAATAATTCACCAGTAAAGGATTAAACATATTTTTCCCAATAATTTTAAAAATCCAAAGGCCTCATTTTTGAGAATGTATTAAATAGAGTAATCATTACTAATACAATTATTATAAGAATCATAACAAAAAATAAACTAAAACAAACAAAAAATAACATAACGAGAGCAAAATAGGCAGAAATATCTAATTCTAGGTCAAATAAAAAATGTTGAATAAACAATTGAATACATTTGGTTTCAACCAATAAGCGAAGTTCAAATAAGCAAATTAGCAAAATAGACGATATAAATAAACAGGAACAAAAAATAAAAAAAAAAAATTTAAAAATATGATTGATCTAAACTATAAACCAACACCTATTGCAAGGATTAATAATATCATCACAATGATGCCTCATATAGGTGGAAGATGAATAACTCTTAAAAAGATAATAGCAATCCAATCATACCCCTTATTATAAATGCATAGATCATCAACTCACATTCAATTACAAAATTATAAAAGAAAATGTTTACAAAACAAACATTCTCATTATCTACTTTAATCCAAAAAACAAGAAGTATATGCAAATTTGTTTTTAAATTAAAAACAAAATGCAGGAATGATTCCGTCAGAACAATATCATGATGAACCATCATAGAAACTTAGAATTAGCATGGTTCAACTAAACATCATCAGGAAACAGACCATCAATGCCATGCAAGAACAAATGCAAGAAACATAATTTCTCCCACCTACTTGAAATATAATGCTATGTTCAGCAAAAACTAACTTTTAAGGAAAGGTAGCCCTAGTTAAACTTTAAAACTGGGTCAAATTTATGCTGAAGTTGTCTAAAAGAAAGGTAATTTAATTTCCAAACATCTACATTTTTGCATCCAGTTCAACTAAGAGATTACCAAACTCAACAAAAGAAATACCACAATTCAGCATTTAAGATTCTAAATCGTAACAGTGTCAAAACCAGCACAAAACAAGAAATTATGAGAAGTAACATAAGTTGGCAGTAAATCTTGGCAAGTTCAGTTGCAGAAAAAATGAAATAGACCAGATAGCTTCATCATCATGAACTATATCACCGTAAACAAAGTAATTTAATAATCATAATCCAAATAACTAGTTACAGAATATGATGGTTGGTTAAGATGTACCGTGTTCCGTCCAAGAGGCTCCCTAAGAGCAAGCTGGTCGAAGGTGAGGCATTCTCCTCCAGCCTTAAGAATCCTTGCCCTAGCAGTCTCTGTGAACCTCAAAGCCGTCACCTTGATGGCTGGAATTTCGTGCACCCTCTTATCGTCCGTCACAGTTCCGACAATCACCGCGATACTATTTTCCTGACCAAAGGCACCGTTTCATGAGAAACAAAACCATGTTAACAAGAAGAAAAATGAATGTAATCATCCACTAAATCGAACAACAAACCTTTCCCTTCATGAAGTTTATAAGCCTCCTTATAGAGAGAGGAGGCTTGTTGATCTTACTCATGAAGAGCCTTTTAAGGATCACAGCATTGAACTTGCTCCCCGTCCTCCGTACAAGAAATCTGTAGAGCTGATAGGAGAGGATAAAAATATCTTAATCGCCTCGGTAAATGATTCAACACATAACATCCGAGGAAAGATTGCAGAAATATTACTTCCCTCATATCTAATAAGTACCTTGACTCATATCTAATAAGTACCTTGACGAGAAGCTTGAGGTAAACATCGTCGCTCTTCGGAGCGGTGCGCTTCGTCTTCTTGCTCCGTCCGCCAGCGATAAGATCAATACCCTATCCATCGAAGTATGGACAGATATCAGGCTTAAAGTAAAGGGAATAGAGCATCGGTACCCGTTCCTCGGTGAAGAGACTATACATACCATTGTTCGTCAACGAGATCCTGCGTCGGCGACTGGTCTAGGGTTTTTTATGGCTCCCCGCACCTAATGGTTGGTTCTTAATATACATTGAAGAGTGCTGTGTTGCCGCGCATTTGGCTGGTTGGGATACTAGGGCATAAAATATTTTAAATGTAAAAATTTTGATAATTTTGATGTTGTTCAAATAAAAAAAAGTGAAGTAAAATAAAAAAATATATAATTTGATGGTTGTCGGCCCACACTGCCTTCCACCACATCCATTGGTGGCCATCACATTCGTCGACGGCCACTACCGCCAACCACCACAACTACTATCCTTCGACATAGCCGTTTGCCAACCCCGCTATCACCCTCTAGCCACCATCGGCCTCAACCGCCAACACTCACCGACCATCACCACCCACCAGCAACCATCGTCGCCACCCATTGGCCACCTCCGACCGCCACCACCAGCCGTCCACCTCCGACCGCCACCACCCGTCGGCCACCTCCGACCGCCGCTGCCCTTCAGCCACCTTCAACCGCCGCCACCCGTCAGCCACCTCCGACCGCCACCACTTTACGACCACCATTGTGTCGACCTGCTTGCTAACAACTACAATATCGTTGGCCGCCAGCCACCACATTATCGGTCGTCATCCACCACCATCGCTTCCACCCACCGTCAGCCAACACTCTCCGCCACTACCATCACCCGTCATTGGTAGTCATTTTTAAACTTTAACTACACTCATTTTACTTCAAGTCAAACAAAAAATTATTCACCTGAATTTACTTTACACTCACCCAAACAACTCCAAAGTATTTCTTTTACACCTCATTTATTTTATACTACATTCCTCTTTCAGGCAACCAAATAGCTTTAGAGTTGTTTGGATGAGTGTAAAGGAATGCATGACTTTTTTTTTTTTGGTTTAAAGTAAAGTGAATGCAATATAAAGTGTAAATAGGTTATGTCTAGGGTGATTAACGATGGTCGGCATTAGAGGCGAGCAGTAGTGGTGGTGATAGTGGTGGTGGTGGGTGGCAATTGGTAATTTGGGTGATGTTAAATGTAAATTATGTACTTTGTATTACATTTGAACTTCAGCAAAAATATGTTATTTTAGTTATTTTTGTACAAGGAATGTTCATAAATATCTAAAAACATAAAGTACCATATAGTACTGCGGCACCGGATGAAACAATATTGCTGCATTGAAATCAACTCCGCAAATGAGCCAATTTTGAACATTACAGTGCTATCCTCTCTGTTTGTGAGTGTTGCAGTGACATCACATGCAACACCGCTACGTTGAAACATTTAGCTTGGTTTGCTAGGTTATCGAGAAAATGAATACTACAGTGTTACACTTCAAAGCCCCCAAACATTGAAAACTCCACATGCGTGCTACAATGCTTAGATTTATTTAGTGCAACGATGTATCAGTTATAACTTCCTAAAGTCATGATGTATAAAGTTTTGTTTGTTTATTTGTCTATTTTAGTTAATGTATGCTTTTATGTTTTTAGTTCATTGTGAATGCTTTCTTTTTGTTGTGTTTAGTGCTTTTGTTTTGTAGTAAGATGTTTATTGTCGTGATCTTTTATCTTATTTTAAATATATATATATATATATATATTTGTGTACTAACATTTCAAGTCCATCGTACATTGTGCAAATTGATCGGCTCAAGGTAGGGTAGAATATAGTTAAGTGTCCTAAAGAGTTTATAATTTTGCTTTTATTTATTTATACATTTATTGAGTTATGTCATGTATTTAGTGGATGATAAACTTGGTGATCGTGCACACACACACCTAAGGGAGTGAGATAGTAAGAACATTAGGAGTATGATTTTCTGAACTGATCATACTGTATGATGTATATTGTACTGGACGATTAGCAATCTAGAGAATCATTAAAAATGGCTAATTGTGCAATTAAAGCAATTTAAACTTATCATACTTGACAATTTGTATCATACATGATGATCAGTTGGAATCAAGATCTCAACTGTCAATCACCCTTTTGGCAATATTTAAAATTTAAAATTTATACTAATTGTACCATACGATAGGTATTGTACGGTACAATATAATTAAATTTTACCTAAATCAATCCTATAATTAAGGAACAATTTTGGATTAATTGATCCAATCAAACCATGCAGGATGATTGGACCCAATTGTACTGCACACACCAATCTTTGCATGAGACTTATTATTGATAATTGGACTGGACAATAATCCAATTCATTTAAACTAATCGTACTGGATGATCCTCATTTCGTACTAAACGATCAGCTCAAGTTATTAAATTTATCTTATAGTGCCTTATTCTTCATTTAATACTAATAGGATTATTTGAACTAGTTGTGCCTTACGATCTTGTATTGTACTATACGATCAGTATTGACTAAATTACAATTTTAGGGCTTTTGTGAGACATTATATTTAAGCTCTCTTATTAGACTTGTTTCAAGTCTTTAGCAGTTGAGTATTCTAAAAAGAGAGCTTGGAGAAGGAATCTAGGAGAGCCTTGGGAAGTAGAAAGGGAGAGCTTGTGTAGGAGGTAGAAGTAGTGTGAGGGGTTCACACGGTTGCTTTAAGCAGGAGTCTTGCAATGTTTCCTCCAGGTGTCTATCTAAGTTTTTTGGGTGGCTCTAAAGGAATTTCTTCAGCTCAAAGACTGTTGAGGATCTTTGCCTTCACCAATATGGTGAAAAAGAAGGTTTAGGTTCTCTACCTTGACCAAGAGAGTAAAAAAGGAGATTCAGGCTCTCTAGCATCATCAGGAAGAGTGAAAAAGGATGTCATGGTTCTATACAGTCATTAGGAGGGTGATAAATGAGATCAATGTTCTCTGACATCACCAGGATAATGAGAAAAGAGGTCAATGTTCTCTACATCTCCATGAGGGTGAGAAAGAAGGTTAAGGTTCTCTGTCGCATTGGGTTGGTGACAAGATTGTAGGGTTTTTTCAGTGTAGTTTCAGGGGCTAAAGGAGACACACTAAAGTTAGTACAATACTCTAAGAGGATTAATCTAGGGGCTGAACGTAGGTTATTATTTGACCGAACCACTATAAAATTTTTTGTGTATTCTTTTTGGTTTTTCATTTTCTGCTCTTTACTTTTTCTACATTTTATTTTTGTGATAATTGCTTATTAAAAATATATGATTGATGCTTCATTATGTTCATTAGAATATCATCATCATTATTATAACTTTTTATAAAATTATTTGATTCCGTATTTGATGATAATTATTAAAAGTTTTTGCAGGTTATTAGACCTAATAGAACTATTCCAAGGCTAAATAAGATGGTGGGTGAATTGGTTATTTAAAAAAATTTCTAAATTTTGAAAACCTTTTTTGAAAACTTAAATTACTAATCTTGAAATATGTAGTTATTTCAAAAAAAAAAATATCAAGGATTTTTTAGTCATAAAAATCTTAAATGAAGAAAAATCAAATTACAATAAAAATTAAATGAGAATAGAATAATACCAAATTTTATAGTGGTTCGGTACAACTAGACCTACATCCACTCTTTGGAGACTCCTTCAGGTATTGCATTAAACAATAGTGACTCTTCTTTTTCCCCCTCAGCAAGATGGAGAAGCCCTTACAAACTCTCTTCCATCAACCTGGTGCGGTAGAGAACCAATGCCTTTTACACTTTAGGGAAACATATATAGTCTCATCCTTTCTCACCCTCCTAGTAAAGGTAGAGTGTTGTCACATCCTTTTTTACCCTCCTAGTGAAGGCAGAGTATCATCACGTTCTTTTTTACCCTCCTGGTGAAGGCAGGGTACCATCATCCTTTTTCACCATCATACTAAAAATAGAGTATCGTTGTCCTTTTTCACCCTCTTGGTGAAGAAAGAAAACCATGACACAATGTTGATAATCTTCTCTCAAGAGCCTCAAGAGGAGATGGGCAAAAACTTAAAGAAGATAAAGAGATTATAGATTTGGACAATCTTGTGAATCTCTCACAACTTCTCACTCACTTGATCTCTCTCACATCACTCTCACAATCTCTCCCAAACACTCACACTCAATTGCCACTCTCAAGAGACATTAACATCAAAGGTTATTAAGTCAGTTTCTAGAACTCTTTATATAGACAAGACATGAAAACCATCAAAAAACTAAAAAATTCAAGTGGACTATCATCCAATCATTCAGTACGATCGAAGATTGTACGATACAAATAGTTTAAAAATAAAGGCTTCGTTTGGTATGAACTGGGACAAACATAGTTTTGTATAATATCAATTGTCTATACGATCTGACTTCGTACCATACAAACTATTCAGAAATGAACAAGTTCATCAAGTATGATATTGTATGAAAGTAATTTCATACTATGCCAGTCATTTGTACGAATTATGATTGTATTATATGAACAATTCAAAAACTGCATGTGTTTAATTGATATGCTCTAGTACAAACCTAATTTTGTACTCTATTAGTTATCTATATGATTTAAAATCATACGGTATGAATAGTTCAAGAATCGAATGTGTTCTTTTGATACAATCTAGTACAAACCCGATTTTAAAAAATGAATAAGTTCATCTGGTATGATATGGTATGAAAGGAATTTCATACTATATCAGTTGTTTATACAACCTGACATCGTACTATATGACTAGTTCAAATAATTCAAGCCATGATTTGAATGACTACATTTAGAGGAAAACTAAGTCAAATCATACAGACGATTAAATATCATACAGTATGATTAGTTTTAAAAATTTAAGTTTTAACTCTCTCTCCCTATATGTCTGTACATGGTTACCCAATTACAATCACACTTGCTCAAACTCAAAAAATAAAAGTAGAGATATACAAACTCTATTACATGAAATCCTATTCTACTCTATCTTAAAGTCTTTAGTAATTTGGAGTATGATTTCCCTGAACTATTAGTATACATAGAAAAAACAAACAAAAATATCCAAGATATGCTAGGAGAAATAATAAAATTGTTAGCACAATAATTAGTTTTGTTGTCATCAAAATCACATGATCAATTAATTTAATACAATATATTACAAACCTGATTTCATACTCTGTCAGTCATTTGTACAACCTGACATCTTACTATACAAACTATTAAAAAAATAGATAAGTTCATC